CATAATGAAAGTTGTTAGACTTCTTTATCATTACAAAAGTTGTTGGACTCCTTTATTGTTACAAAAATTGTTGGACTCCTTTATGGTTACAAAAGTTGTTGGACTTCTTTATTGTTACTAAAGTTGTTTGAACTTATTTATTGTTACAAAATTTGTTTGAAATTGACTTCAATGTAACCTATATTGCTTTCTTTTGTTGCAGATGCTACTGGATGGTGGAGAGGCCGACTGAGAGGAAAAGAAGGACTTTTCCCTGAGAACTATGTACAGAAAGTTTAAAGACATCAGTTCTATCATCTAGTTCTTCTCAGGTTGAAATGAAAATGTTTTCATTTGTTATGATTGGTCAGCTTCTGTTTTTTTTTGTTATTGATTATTATAATTTTGGTAAAACTCAATTTTACTGATACTGATGAGGTTTAATGAGGGAGATTCTGTGGTGTATGACAAATTAGAAATCCACATAAATGGTCTAATTCTGAAGTGATTTTATATCGAACCAAAGAAACCCAGAACCAATACAAATAGGAATCACTTTGTGAGTCATTAAGTTTTATTGATTTTAATCTCTGTTATATGCATTTGTCATACTATAGACAGAAAATATGTAATTTTAATACAGCATCTGGTATGTTAAAAATTGACCATGAAGTTTCCAGATCTTAAGCAATCATGAAACACAGGCCTGATATTGTTAATAGTAACCTTTCTATGAACATGTACATTACAAATCATATTATTGGGATTATTGGGTAATTATTTTGAAATGATGGATTGGAAAAACTCTCTGGGCATTTAAATCCGTTTTGTATTTTTAAAAAAAAATTGATCTGCTTATAAAAGTTTCAGGAGTTTTGTTGTGAGAGAGAAAGCTGTTCACTGCATCACAGCTTTATGTTGTGTGCATCACAGCTATATGTTGTGTGCATCACAGCTGCATGTTGTGTGCAACATAGCTGCATGTTGTGTGCATCACAGCTTCATGTTGTGTGCGTCACAGCTTCATGTTGTGTGCATCATAGCTGCATGCTGTGTGCATCACAGCTGCATGCTGTGTGCATCACAGCTGTATGCTGTGTGCATCACACCTGCTTGTTGCGTGCATCACAGCTGCATGTCGTGTGCATCACAGCTGTATGTTGTGTGCATCACAGCTGCATGTTTTTGTTGTTGTTTTTTCCTTCCCTAGAGAGTGAGTCTGTGCTGTAAATGGATTTTCTCTCTTAGCCATCGTAGTTTTACTTCCATTCCTATCTGTGATGTCAAAATCTATCACATTCCTTTCTTATAACAAATAAGTTCTTCACAAATGTGCACATTAAAAAAATGTTTGACGTTTTGTAAAGAGTTCCCCAGCACCAAAACATGGTACTAGCTTAAGGATAAAGTATGTCAGTCTTTACAAGCACCATAGAGCAATGCAGTGCTTCAGTTTATGTACAATTTAAAATGGCATTATATACTCCATGATAGGGGTGCAACTTCAACTTTCATGGGCTACTGTTCTATGTGTTGATTGTTTGATGTTTTCTTTGATGGGTCAACTAAAAGAAAGTGTTAACATGTATTATTTTTGTGTTCTGCATGACCAAGCAGTAATTAATTATACGTAATGCATTTTGGGAATGAGAAGTTGTTTAGCACATATTGTCAGAGACAATGTAATCTCCTTTGTATTTTTGTCGTAATTTTTCATTGATACAGCAGCTGATATACCTAGTATACTAATATCTCTAATTGATTGGCTAATTACCTGCATCTTCATCCTTCTTTAAGTCACTTCATAGCTTTGATATTTTTGTAGCTTATGAGCTGCTTTCATGTTTTTTTTCCATTATTATTTACTTAAAAATGTTGAAGTATATTGCATCAAATTAACAAGATCGACTCATTCTTTTGTAGGTTTTAAACAGTTTTTGTTATCTTTCTGAAAGAGTTTGTGGATAAGTTGTTACATTATGGGATATTTCTGCAAAATAGTTCACATTCAGTTGTTGGCTCACCTTTTTTGTTTCTCTCCCCCAAATCCTTGCTTTTCTCACTGAGAAATAATTTCAGTCCATCAAATCTTATGTCATGTCTGCTTCATGGTCTTTTTTTTGTCTCAATGATTTGCTTGTAATTAAAAGATCTCATTATCTTAACACATTTGTGTTGCTACCTCGCCTAAGCTATATTCACATTACAGTGACAATCTTTTGACGTGCAGAAAAATACAATAAAACTACTCCTGATGACTATTAACATCATGGCATCTCATTGATGTACATTACATGTAGATTAATTTTCTTGCATAATGGTGTTGAGGCCAAGCGCAAAATTGTCAGTTTAGTGTGAACATATCTTTGCATAAATCTCTTTGTGAATCTACTTAAGTCTATACATATCATTCTCTCAAAGAAATCTATATCTTTTAATATTGAAATACTTGCCTTGAAGAATTATTTATGTATTTTTTGGAGGGCGGGAGAATTATACATTTCTGGATTCCATTCTTTTACATCTTTTTTTACAAACATTGTGACCTGCCTATTCTTTCAGTGACTGGTATAAATATTTAAATATTTTCTCTACAATTGTTATTTTTGTATATCTTTCTCTTACTGTTAATGTATGCTATATTTTAACTTGCTTCTTCAAAATGGGTAATTTCTTCATCTTTGAATCGAACATCTGGTGTTGCACTGCTCTTGTCCTTGTAATCAGGGCTACTTTGATGGTAAGAAATATGCCTTAATAGGAAGCAGACTTTATCTTGTATCTCCCTGTTATCTCTACATTCCAACTGCTTTAAGACTTGTATGAAAAGAAATCATCTGCTGACTTGGCTGTTTTATTAGCACATTTTTTATGAAAACTTCAGGTTTGTGTTGTCAATTTTTCATAAACTAATCACCTAAGATACAACTGTAAGATGTTTGGTGTTACCCCCCTTTTTTGTTTAATTTTTTTAACATTTGTTTTTTTTTTTTCCTGATGATTTTGTTTTCTTTCATTAATAAGCTATTCCAACATTTTATTGATTTGTAAGATTTATGTTTGAATTGGAATTGATGTTTTTAATAACTTATTTATCAACATAGAAACATATTTGTTGGTAGAGGCTACTTATTCCTTAACTATATACATGTATATTTAATTTAAATATGAAACACTCATGCTAAGTTAATTACCTGCATCTTCATCCTTCTTTAAGTTATAATTTGTTTTGTTTATTTCATTGTTACATTGGTTTAAATTTTTTATTACTTGTATTATGACTTTCTTTTAATTGGATTTCATGGTTCTTCGCCTCAAGTCTTGAGTCACAAACTTATTTAAAAAAATACTTTCATGTTCCACCCATTTAGTTATAAAAGGCATTTTGTGGATGCCATAGAACATTTTAAAATGGGATCTTGACCCATGGTCTTGGACTCATTTGTTTAATGTATAATTAAAAAAAAATCTCAAGCTACATTGTATGTAGCCTTTAACAGTTTGATTTTTTTCGTAGTTTTGGTAGTTTAAAGTTTTTTGTTAACACATTTAAATCCTTTGTATTTTTTTTTTTTTTATGAGTCCTTTCGCATATGTAAAGGCATTCAATTGTTTGTCATATTTCAGGTAATAACCATGACAGTCTAAGTCCATAATGTAACAATCTTAAGTTTTAAATAGTTCAGTCTTAAAAGAAATTCTAGTCTCTATCTTTAGCTATTTTCATGCTATTGTCAAATTATATACTATATGGCAGAGTAAGGTGTTCTCCTGGAAATAATTTCACACTCTGCATATTTCTCCTTTTAGACTGATGATATGTCTTGTTTTTCTTCATGCTGCATGCTGAAGATAGGAAAAGTATATATAAAAGTATATATTTCTTGTGCTTCTTAAACCAAATATAAAAGAATATTCATCCATTTGTCTTATAGATTACATTTAATAATTTAAGACTATTGTCATCCATTTTGTTTTCATCAAGGCATTTTTTTAAATATGAAGTCTTATAGGAACAAACCAATATATATATCACCACATATATATTATTAAGACTAGCAATAACTAATTAATTTTTTTTTAAAATGTTAATGACAATTAAAAAAAACTTGTCTATATTTCATCTAGATTGTTGATTTTGAGGTCTTTACCTTTACTCTGTGCTGTATCCAATTTTGTTGCTTTTTTATTTTTATAAAAGCGCAATAATTTTTTTTATTGTAAGTCATTAAACTTCTTTTCTAGCCTAATGACTCTGTATTTGAAAGATTTTGGATGAGTTACACAGCCCATATTTACATGTCTTTAATCATTAAATCAGACAATATTTTTTTGTTCTTACTTTGGAACATAAGTGTTTAGTCTAAAAGATCCTAATTTTCTATACAGACAATAGATGTCTATTTAAACATAAGTAGAAATTCCAATAGTAAGCATTCAAAATAATGTATTATAATGATTGTGCTGTTACCTAATGCATTGACTTGTGCTAAGCACAGCTATATACATTAAAATTTGATTAAACCCAACTTTCTACCAAACTGAGCACTAAGTTTGACTAAATAAAACATAGCCAAATAAGTTTCTTTTTCTTGTTAAAAAAAACGCTGAAGTTGGCAGCTTTTTATGGTCTCATATTTGTGGCTTAAAAACAATGCTATGTATATATGTTAGTATATTTACTTTTGATTTCTTTTGTATGATTGATTCTATATATATAGTACTTGTCAGTATTTAGTCAAAACAGTTTATGCTATAGTGATATTATTCTTGTTTGAACTTTTTCAACTTGTTTAATGCATGAAGACCATACTTTCTAGAGTTTTATTCTACATTGGACAACAGAGGGATTCTCTGTGTCTATAATAACTGCTTCAAGTATATTTCTGTTATGTACACATTGTGTCATTCTTGTGCCATACAATGGTTACATCGAGTCATTAGAGCATGTCTGCTGAGTACAGCAATTCATCTTCATCTGCCAAATTTTCATAAACCATTTTTAGGTCTGGTCCTTTTATATAAACAACATTCAATAATATATATTTTTTTTTTAAATGTAGGGCTCTTGGACCTTTCAATGCCTTTCCCTGTATATAACACAGTCACCCCTTGTTATAATAATTTGTATAAGTATTTGTACTATCAAACAAGTATTTAAAATTGATCTGCTAGAAATAGATCTAGTATTTATTCAGCAGGCTGCAGTGTTTGAAACACCAGCTTCACCTTCATGTCAAGTTTTGTCTCTGTATAAGTAAAAAAAACAACATTGCCATGTATGTAAGAAGAAGATGCTTAAAGTGTGAATGCAGTCTAAAATCTTGGGCTTTAGATTACCAAATGTCAAGAGCTATTCACTTTGTATTTCATGAAACATAAGTTCAAATATGTAACACACAATCAAGTTCTAAACATTCTAACAATTTAATACAAATAATACACTGAAAAAGGATTTTGTTTTTCAATAAAATAGACTATTATGCCTTAATATTCTTTTGTTATTTTTTTCTAGTATTTTGTGAAGTGATTTTTGTACATTGATGTTTTTAAAAACGTAGAGACTTTTGGCTTAGATTTAGTCCGGATATGACATTTAGTCGAGATGGAACTTGTAGGATTTTCTCTATATGTGTCATTTAGATTAAATCGAGATTAGACATTTAGGTTTAGTCAAGATGTGACATTAAAGTTTTTCTTTAATTGTGACATTTAGATTTAGTAAAGATGTGACATTTTGGTTTTTCTCTAGATTTGCTATTTAGGTTTAGTCAAAATGTGACATTTTTTCTCTAGATGTGACATTTAGGTTTAGTTGAGATGGAACCTTTAGACTTCATTGACATGTGACACTTAAGTGTACCTCAAGAGATATTTAGTTTTTATGAATATGTGACGTAACATTTAATCTAGGTTTGATGCGCATGTGTGATGTGACATTTAATCTAAGTGTGATGCGACATTAAGGTTTGGTGAATTTCAGACGTAACCAATACGTTTGGTGGATATGAAACGGCTAGCTCTGTTGTTTTGTCTTTCATTGTTCAACTTAAACTTCTGGTCATGTTAACCATTCGAGTCAAGATTAGGATACTAATATGTTTAATTGTTTGAATATTATAATTGAATTTTAATAATTTCGAAAACTGCAAAAAAAAAAAAAAGTAATTGATTTCTAGATTCTAAAGTATTTGAAAATATTAAAGCGCCTCATTCCCCCCCCCCCCCCCTTCTTTAAATAAAAAACGTCTCCAAGCCTTAGATTCAACACAAAGAAAAGTGAAAACACCAATCTTTTAGTTTATTTTGTTGAACGCCGATATTTTTTCCTCGTTGATGTTTGTTGCTGGAAAATTCATCCATTGACTCTCCGTGCAAGCCTGCTATTTCAAGTGGGCTTCTTCCGACACTCATCCCTGCTAGCCTCTCCCCCTAGCTCCCTTCACATTCATCCCATCGAATTGGTCTCATCCCCCTCGCGCGGCACTTGTCAAAAGATTGACTAAAGCCGATCCGAAACGGCAATGACACCTGGCGCCCTCTATTTGATCGCCGGCAGACGACAATTAAGACCGGATCTTCCGGTGGGCTTCCCATTCTCTAATATAGCCCCCGAGTTAATTGAAGGCTATGAAAATTAACTGAGAAGTTGGAGGTAACCGAAATATCGATCAAGCACATTGATTGGGTTCAAGAAATGTAGAACATGAATGCTCACGCTGTGTTTTTGTCTGAATTCAGCACACCACACGTGTAATAATCTTTTACAGCACATCATCCTCAATGATTCCAAGACTTCACAATCCTAAAAGAAATTTACTGATTAATATTATACAGCAATAGATCTTTCCAAACTATTTATAGTTGGGAATTGTTAATATTAATTATATTGCACTCGGTCAGTATCAAAGGAATGAATTGTTTTTTGTTGTTGTTCCATTTCAATTTCTATTGTAAGTATGTTCGATTGTCTTAACATGGTCAAATCCTCAAGTAACAAGTCAAAAACTCAAAAGAAATAAACGAGTCAAAAAATTAATTCATTTACAGCTGAAATGTCGCACTTATAGAGCTAAAACAACGTGTACACTTGAAATAACACACTTATAGTATCGCTTGTTGGCTAAGTAAAAGCGTCGCGCTAATAACGATAATATCATGGGCTCGATTCAAATTACTGGCCATTTAAGGAAATTGAAATTGCGAATCCAGCCCAAAATGTCAAAAAGCGAAATTGGAGCTGGATAGGACACGCGGTGAAAACCAGCTACCAATATTGCAAGGCAGGCACTTTTATTGGAGTCCACAAGAAAAAAGGAAAGTGGGCAGATCCAAGCAAACCTGGAAGAGGTCAGTCATCAGGCTGAGGATACTGGAATGACATGGGAGCAGATGAAGAAAGCTGCTCAGAACCGAAAGGTGTGGTTGTGGCCTTATGCTGCCTGGGAGTTCATATGATTAAGTCACACATGAATCTTAAATAACAAAAATTACAATGGCTTATTAAGCAGAAGGTATGTAATGTGAGGGTAGGTAGAATGTAGAAGACGGGGGATGGCAGCGGGCAGGGTATGAACCCTGGACCATCGAGACAACCGATCGACAGTCCAGCGCGCATGTCGCACGACCAGGCAGCTTGCGATCGACTGCGATCTATTACAAAACATGGGATCACTCACGCGTCAATCATACAGGAATAAAATAGACTTATCGGCAGACTATGAACAAATAGATCCTTGTCCTTTTAAAAAGAAAGAAACACATGCTATAAATAGATACAGGAGAAAGAGAGAGAGTTAATAAAATAAAAAAAACAACAACAAGGGGAGAGAAGTGATTAGCATGACTGCGACACAGCAAGACTAAAATTAAAACGCTGGCAGACTCCCCCCCCCCCCCCTTTTGGTTGTGTCTTCCGCTATCTTCTTGCTAGTAATCAATGGGTGCAGATTCTAGAAGGTTCAAGTCGTCTCTCTACCTTTCCAGCACGTGCTACAGGTTTCTCAAACTTTCTCGAGACGAGCACGCGTGAATACATTAAAATAGGAGAAGAAAATGTCATACTATGTATTGAATGCGAAGGTCAATGAAACGTACATACAATACCAGGCCATGGTAGTTTTTCTTGGTTTGACTTGAAATAGATTCGTTTGTTTCTATTAAGTTTTGTACGCATGTATCTCTGTTTTTGAATGTCTACTTGTGAAGTAATATGTAACATCAAATTTTGTTTAATCCCAATGCAGCTTTTCTGTATTTAAAACGTTGGTATGTTAAGATTTTTTTTTTCAACAATGATTTATTGGGGATTTTTAAATTCAACTTTAAAAAATGTCAAGGACGCTTAATTGCATTTCACTGTTGACAACAAATTAAGAAAGAATTAATTGAGTCATAATTTAAAATTTAAACAATATCACAATAAGTGGCAATAGTCCTTCGTATCAATCCTTTATTAAAGCTAGTTAATAGCCTTTTTGTTGTGAAGTACGTTCCATGTCATAGAGCGAAAGTCTAATGCTTCTTTCTTATTGAAATACGTTCCATGTCGTAGAGTGAAAGTCTAATGCTTCTTTCTTATTGAAGTAAGTTCCATGTCATAGAGTGAAAGTCTAATGCTTCTAAAACTAAAAAAGAATTATTCTTCTTACAAAATTAGATAAATTGGCAACAGAAAAAAAATAATTCTTGACCTATTTTAGTTAGGTAGTGATTCGGCACCTTCGACATACCTACTACGTCACGAACCAGTCTTACGGCCTGGGGTCACGGCGGTCACGAGTGAGCTAGCTAGAAATGATATGAAAGACTTGGAATAGGTCTACTTGGACCAGACATTACCCTTGCAAAATAAAAATTAATATCTCCATTGTCATTTGTCATACAAACTAGACATAGATCTAGCTAGGTCTAGACCTAGTTTTACATATAAATTTAGATCCAAGATCTAATTTAAGTCTAGGTCTAGAACTAGATCTAAGTCTAGATATAGAAATAGATCTAAGTCAATCTAAGTCTATAGTCAGTAGTCTAGAATTAGATCTAGATTTAAGTGTAGATCTAATTCTAGATCTAGGATCTTGATATAGAATCTACTATATCTAGACTAGAACTCGTATGAATTTACACATTTAGTCTTACAATTACTAGACCTAGGCCAATGTTATTATCATGAATAGTAGGCCTTTTGTTACCGGGTAATGCCATTACTAATGTAATAGTGTACTATGACTATGCTGTTCGTATCCACTTCATTTCTTAATGTGATACTATTGTTTACATATTAATAAATCTGCACCCCTAAACTGTCAGAAGATAAGTAATTGCCTTAATAATTAAAATTTTGCTCAAATTATTAATACATTTATTATAAATATATCTAAATCTGGGCTCTATTTAGTCTCATTTAGACTGTCAAGTGTAGGACCCTGTAATGAGGTCATGTCAAAACTGCACGCTATAAAAGTAGTTTGTTATTTTTTAAACTTATAACTAAAACGAAGTTCGTATCAAAGTTCTTTTTTAAAGCAACATTTGAATCAGTATTCTATTCGGTGAGTTAGTTAATAAAGGGAAAATATATTTTATAATGATCCATTGACACTTTTACCATTGTGAACTTAGATGCAATTTTTTGGTACCAATAGGCAAATATATAAATGAAGCCCGAGTTATGAATGAAGAAGTCCATGACCTCTTTAAAAAAGTTACCTCCCTTGAAGTTTTTCATTGAAAAGTGGTGTAATTTTTTGAAATATCTGCTTGCATATATAATTTTAAAAATTAGATGGTTCACTTTCAGAAAAGAAAAAGTAGCCGTTGTATCAGAACTTTGAAGGATCTAAAATAACATGAGGTCCGAATTTCATTTTCTCTTATAGTTTCTGAGATATAAACGGGACGGACGGACAGACGGACTGACAGGCCACACAAAACGAATAGCGACTTTTCTCCTTTCGGAGGCCGCTAAAAAGCGTATCAACACTTCCTTTATTTGGTACACAGGATACACCAAAAATCTAACTATTTATAGTTTTCCGCCATATATGAAAATATGCAATAGCTACTTTCACTTACCTGCTGAAATAAAATGTAGAAGACAGAGTAGGCAAAAAAAATTGACGTTACTTGTGTCATGGCGCTGGTTTCAATGTGACAAAATATGTAGGTCGCAGTTGGGACTGCGTAGCCACATGAAATGGTGTACTCCTTATTAATCTTCGGACCCGAAGAAACGCCTTATTGTTATTGTTATTATATTTTGTCTAGCTGGGTTTCCTCTACCTACATATATGTTTGTAGCTTTTGTTTATCTTAGCTGCGGTAAATCTTTTTTTTTAAAGTTTTTTTTTTTTAACATTTTCACAATTAAAAGAACACCTCATTGCTCACAACCAATTATCGGGAAGTTGATGACATTGACATTGACATCGTCTGCTCCTGTCCAAATTATTGGCTTTACTTCAGACCAAGTCTTTGAACGAGTCGCGA